GCCAGCAGGAATGAAGCAATTGAAATCCGAATTGTAGCTTCCTTGCATTGCACTCGATGCTGCACGTTACGAAACCTCCCATTGCTCCATGCCTTTGTGACATCAACAAGCAGCAGCTTAAGAACTAAGAAGCCGATTTACTACTAATATAAAGGTAAAAAGATACAGGAACTCTATCATTACCTTAGCAATGTCTCCAAGATTGATCAGGAGGGTGCCTGGCACCGGATCAACAGCTACATACGCACCAGACGGGTTCATCACTTCAAGCCCTCCAACATTTTCATCGTCTTGAAGGATAGTCAGAAACCCAGAATCTGTATGTATTTGGACTCCAGAGGAGCCTATAGTTTCAGGGGTGAAGTTGTACTTGTTGATCCTGAACTGGCAAACCCATGACTCAAAAAAATCACCACTTAACCCTAAACTTTCAGCCAACTTTCGAGCTACATCCTTGGCCGCCCCATGAATTGCCTTAGCATACATCTCTATAACCTCTCTGGCAACAACAATTGCAAATAAAAAATAGAATATCAATGTATAGAAATGACATTAAAGAAACCAAGTTCATTTCAGTAAGAATTTGCTGCTGAAACTCCTTGTAGCCAGAAGTTTGAAAAGATTTCTAAACATTTAGTTCAAGATAAGAGCAACTGGCCCCCATTCAGAGAGGCTACAAGATAACCCAAAAAGGAAGTGGAGCTGTCTTGTCAATACTAGCATCCAAGGTGATGTGGCACATCTCACTCCATCATAAGGGTTCAATCTACTGATTCTTGGGATTTTCTATCACAATAGTGATTTTCAGAATGCCTTCTCCAGTAATAATGATGATAGTTCTCATTTTACCTTCCAACAGCCAATTGTTTTCAGCTTTAAGAAACTTAATGGAAATGAAGTGAAGAGTGGTACAAATTCAAGAGAAATGAAAGAAAAAAAATTACCTTTGGTAAGAAGAGGCATCCAATTGGGAGCAGAAAGTGTCCACAGCCTGTGAAGACCCCATATCATAAAGTCCCAAAGCCTCGTAAAGAGGGTTGACTTGGCTTGGTGCCATGTAGCCACTCCCAGATATTACATCTAAGTTGCGCTTTTTCACATCGAAGGGCAGGTCTAACAATGATCTCACAACCCTCTTCATATCTGCCATGATGGCCAAAGAGATATTGTGATTCACGAGCCTGAAACAGCCCCACTCTTCACATGCTCTTCTCAGTTTCCCATACTGTCCAGGAAACCCTTGCAGATCTATTGTTGGGACACCACTCTCTCCCATCTTTACTTATGTTAAGTCTATTCTTGATATATAGATATATATATAAAAGCCTTCCACTCTTTAGCAAGCCGTGTTAGAACACGGCATTGACGGTTATATAAAATTAAGGATTTGCTTTGCTTAGGCAGACATCATGTGGACAGACTTTACATTTTGTTCCCGACAAGTATGAGAAGGCAAGGCTAAATGTTCATATAAAACAAAACAGTGACATCTTTATGCTTGCCTTAGCATAGCAAGATGCCAAGAGCAGCTTGCAGGCTAGTGTCTGCATAACAACCAACAAAAATGATGGTGCAAAAAGATGGAAATCTAATGGAATTCATAGTACTCAAATGACAGTAAGAAAGGTGTGCTTCTCATTTAAGTTTTGGATGGGCATCAAAGCCATGCGATCAATTCGGATTAGGTGTGGTTCTCATTTAAGTTGTGGATGGGCATCAAAGTCATGCGATCAATTCGGATTATCCAAGAAAGATGAATTGAATATAAGGCAAGCGAAGTAGGTAGAAATGCAATGTACAAGACCATAACCACTGTCTCGGTTCATCAAATTGTTCAAAAACATGCCCAAATGAATCATTTACACAGGTCGAGGGGGATATCCAGGGAGAGAATATTTTTCTTAGTCATTATTATTTTATGGTTTTTGAATGTTTTTGTTGGTTTTTTAATTCATTTAAGATATTGTAAACCTCTTAAGATCTCGAGACTATATATAAATTAGAGTTATTTATATAATAATAAAAATATCAATTAGAGTTTTATATAATAATCATATTTGGCTTCAATTTTATCTTTGTAGTTTGTTATTTTCTAGTATATTGTTTTTGTTTGTATTAGTTAGTATCGAAGCACAACGATTCTAGTGTTTATTTACTTGTTATGTGTTGGAATAATCATAACTAAAAAAGATGGCAGTATATAATGTGTTTATGTACGAGGAGATGAGGAGATTCCCTCTCGTGAAGAAAACATTCAAAAATTGGTGATATAAAACATATAAAGACAGGTTACAGAATTTAAAAAAGGAGTTTATTAGTTGGTAATGGATAATATATATAGACAAATTGCAAAATTAAATTGTTAGATGTCAAAGGTAAAGAACCCTAGTGATTATGAGAAGAGTGATCTCGGATGCATAGTTAATTTTGAAAACTCGTTTTAAAGATATGACGAACCAGATAGGAGACTCGCGCTTTACCACGGGCTAGTTAAAAAAATTATGAAGTTTAATTATCAAACAACTCAATATTAAAATAAAAAACTAAAAAAAAAGAGTTAACCCGCTTATGTTGAAATTTTCGACACTGGATTGATATAGCCTTGTAGAAAGGAAAGAGCAAAAAAAAGAAGCATAAAGACTAATTCTTAATAAATTAAATATTAAAAAAAATATTGAAGATTCTAGTAGAATTAAGATTGATTAGACTTGATTTATAAGATGTAAAAACATGAAGTCAAATATATTTTTCTACAGAAATAGGATTTGTTAGTAATGTCTATTTATGTATAGTTAATAGCAATTATGGAACTATCTTGAAATAGACTTATAGATGTTGTATATATAGATGTATTTCTATTGTAGTAAATGAGAAACATGAAGACAAGAATTCTTCATGTTATATTTCAAAGCTCTAAAAAAAAAAAAATACTTCCTTTCTTACCCTACCTTGTTATTTCTTGTTGTTTAATCTAGTAAATTTGTTCGGTTCTTAATCATGTTGAAAACACCATAAAAGAAATTTAAATGAATCAAACATTAAGAGAACTATATAATTTATAATTGTTATATTGGCTGAATGGAATAAACTATTTGAATTGATAAAAAATAGTGAAAAATTTTTTTAAAAAGAAGGGAAAGATCAACCATTTGATTAACAGTCCTCCTAATCCAGAAGAACCAAAGTTCACACTTTAGGATGAAAAAGACTCCATGATTATGTCATGGCTATAAAACTATGATATTAGAGATTTGTGGTCCTTACATGTTTCTAGTCACAACAAAGGATATTTGAGAAGTAGTGAGAAAAACTTATTCCAAAATGAAAGATATTGTGTTAATCTATGAGATTAAGATGAAGCTTTTAGTGACCAAATAAGTTACTATGATGGTTATTGAATATAACAATACTATAAAAAATTTCTGGTTGGAGTTAGATTATTATCAAGATTTTAAGATGTAGTGCGGTGAATATGCTATAATTCTAAAAAATTATGTGGAAAGGGAGAGGATCTTTGAATTTCTTATAAGACTCAATAAGAGTCTGACTATATATGAGTTCAAATACTTAGAAAAAAATCTTTTCCTTCACTCAATGAGATGTTCTCATTGATAAAGGCCGAAAAAAGGAGAAGAACCATAATGCTTGATATCCCTAATATCAAAGGATCAATTATGATGATGACCAATAACAAGAACCCAAGTAATGCCATGAATATTGCAGAAGAATAAAAGGGAAAAAAAAACCTCTAAAGATGACCGGTTCTATAATAACTACAAGAAAACATGCCATACTAAATAGTCCTGTTGGAAACTCCATGGAAAACCATCTAGGATAAGATGAAATGGCATATACAAATGAAACCGGTAAAAAAAAAAGGCACACTTAACAAATTCTAAAGAGTCAGTCTATGAATTCAACACGCTAGAAGTGGAAGGGCTCAATAAAAAATAAATTCAACGTTTAAAAACCTTACTTAACTCGATGGAAAAACCATCTAAGTCATGCTTTTTAACTCAAAATAGTAAAATTTTAATTTCTCATATTTTTAATGCCTCAAATAAAAGTTAACACCTGGGTCATTGACTTGGGTGTAACAAACCACATGACTTACAGTGGAAGTTCTTTCATATCTTACAAGCATTGTCCTAACAGCAAATCACAGTGATGGATTCCTAACCACAATTGCATGTTACATGTCCCTCACTCCTTTTTTAAAACATATCTCCCTAAGTCCCTCACTCCTTTTTTAAAAAATATTACATGTTCCTAATCTTGCTGCCAATTTGTTATCTATCCATAAAATAATCAAGGCCCTAATTTGTAATGCAACTTTCTTCTTGATCACTTCATATTTCAAGACCTGGTTATGGGAAGGATGACTGGACAAGCTAAAGTAAAGGAAGGGTTGTACGTACTTGGAATGCATTAACGAGTCTGAACAGAAGAAGACATTTGGATTAATGAGCTAAACTACCAACTCATATTTATAAGTATAATCAACATAAAAGGTGCGAGTATTATTATATACAAACAATTCAGACTATACAAATCAAATCCTTTAAGCCAATTACAACCTCTTCAGCATCAGTATGGTATTAGTCAGAGATCGTCAGAACCCATCCATAATTTAGTTAGTTAATCCCCAGTCATCCATGTGGTTAAAGTTACCAGAATGCCAACGAAAAAAGCTTGAAAACCAACGGACTCAGAGGTGAAATTTCACCTCAACGAACAAGATACTCTACATCGAATGACGACCATCTGTCTTCTCTCTCACTGGTCTTTGTTCTTGAATATCTTCAAGATCATCATCATCCCCTCTCTTACCTGCCTGTTCTTTCCAATGCGCAACCAGTTTTTTCAGCCGAGCAACCTCTTTTGACGATACATTTTTGCTTGGATCATTAACAATAGATCGAACTCTTGATGCATACCTGAAATGGCAAAATGTTGAGATACCAAGAAAGGCAAAAACAAATACATGAAACTGAAAGAGATTTGATGGAGATAACATCTAGCCTTAACTTAATTCTATCATCTTAAAACTAACCAATACTAATCTTGAATAAGACACCAACAGTATAGATATGTTAAGAATGTTAAGAAGACACAGACATACATTAGAGAATTGTAAGACTCGTCTAAATTTGATTCGGCTGGAGATACATTCACGAACATAAGTGTCTTCGCATTACCACCCAGGGAATCACTCATTAACATTGTTAACTTGTGGTTCCTATAAGGTATGTGTTGACCACCAGAAGATAACGCGCTAATGACATCCCCGAGGGCTGAAAGTGACTTGTTGATGCTTTGAGCTTCCTTAAGTTGACTACCTGAAGAGCCTGACTTCTTTATTCTTTCTGAACCGGCAAGGTCCACAAAACTTAACTGCACATGATATCAAGATGTCATGCATGAATTAACAGCTTCAACTCTAAAATATAAACTAGAGAGGCTCGCACTTCATGCTATCACATATTTTGATGCAGCTATGACTGAGCTTATGTCTTCAAATCTCACAATAAAGAAAATAGGACAAGTAAATGTACATGCACATCATGTTTCTGACAGCAATCATTCAGTTCATAGAAGCATCATATAATTCAATCAAGGATAACTAGATGAATACCTTTCCCCTTGCTACTGACTGAGTTTGAAGGTTAGTACTTTCAATAACAATTGAAAGAATCAAATGAGACCTTGAACTTTCTTCATTCATTTGAGTCCCAGATGTATGCCGCCGATCAGATCCTCTCTGAATAATGTTTTTCAATTCTTCAAATGTAGTAATGGATACAACTGTCACATTTTCAACAGAAACCATACCCTGTATATCATATAATACGTAATACATGAGCTCCAATAATGACAATCGAACTAGACAAGATTTGAAATAACAAATATTAGATACCAGTTTTGGGAAATAGCAATCACCTTTGAATCTTTTTTAATATCCAATTTTAGGCGCTTCATATTTTTTGGTAATAGAAGGTCCACAAGCGTATCTTGATACAACTCGACCATATATGCCTGCATCATTTTAAAAATAGGATAAACTTTTTCATAAAATTGAGTGCAATTCAAATTGATTTAAATGCCTAAAAAGATAACAGAAACATATTGCACATGCAATGATTGAAATGCAGAGGAATCCGTGCATGCATAGACAGAGACAGCACAGTCAACATAGACAAGCCAGCGAGGAACTCATGCTGATTATAAAAGTTTCTTATATCCTTAAATGAATGAAGTAAATAATCTAGCTAAAAATTTAGTTCCACCATGTAGAATATGAAGAAGCCATCATCATTGTCAG